AATTTTTTCACATGACCCTGTACACTCATCACTTGCCCACTGCCTGCTTGTGTTTTTCTGAATTTACTAGTCACTTCCTAATGGTCCCAGAGGAGCCCTGGTGGCATAGTGGTTACTTATTGGGGTGCTAACTAAAAGGTCAGCAGTTCAAAACCACCAGCTGCTCCTTGGGAGAAAGATGAGGCTTTCAACTCCTGTCAAGAGTTAGTCTTGGAAACCCACAGGTAAGTTGGAAGTGACTCGATGGAAGTGAGGTTTGGGATTTTTGTTTGCCCCTAATGGTCCCACTCCCTCTTGGAGGCCTTCTGTCTTGACCCCACTCAAGGCTGGATTGGGTGCCCTGTCTACTAGATGTTTGTTTTTAAGGGTAAAGATGATGAATTACCAGCACTTAGCACAGTGCTGGGTACATTGTGCTGTTGTCAGTAGATGCCCTCGGGTTGGCTTTGAATGATAATGACCCTACTATGTGCAACAGACTGAAACGCCGCCTGGTTAGATTGTTAGATTTGAGCCCACCGTTGCAGCCGCTGTTGAGGGCCTTCCTCTTTTCTCCCAGCTCTCTGCTGTAGGAAACATGATGTCCTTTGCCAGGGACTGGGCCCTCATGACTGCGTGTCCACAGTGCATGAGACAAAGTTTTGCCATCTTTGCTTAAGGAACATCTGGCTATACTTCCAGACAGCTTTGCAAGTTCTTCTGGCAGCCAGCCCATGGGAATTTCAATCTTGTTGACAAAGCTGTCATTCAGATGCATCCGTTTTTCTTTACTTGCTGCCCAGCTTTCATGTGCGTACAGCCAGTCAGGCACACCTTAGTCCACAAAGGGACATCTTTTGCTCTTTAATCCTGCCAAAAGGTCCCGTGTAACAGGTTTTCCTAATGCAATTCTTATTGGCAAGTGCCTTTGAGTTGGTTCTAACCAATAGCAACCCTGTGTACAACAGAACAAAACACCTCCCCCCCACCCCGGTCCTGCCCCATCCTCATAATTATTTTTGAGCCCATTATTGCAGCCGCTATGTCAATTTACCGCATCATTCAATCTCTTTGTCGCTGCCCCTCCGCTTACCAAGCAAACATGATGTCCTTCTCCAGGGACTGGTCTCTCCTGCTAACAAAGTATTGAAACAAAGTCTTGCCATCCTCACTTCCAAGGAGCAGTCTGGCTGTATTTCTTCCAAGAAAGATTTGTTTGTCCTATGGGCACATTCCACGATACTTTCAATATCCATCACCCACACCATAATTCTAATTCATTGATTCTTCTTTGCCCAACTTGCGAGTACATACGAGGCGATTGAAAATACTATGGCTTGGGTCAGGTGCATTGCAGAAAAGGCATGCAGTGGCCAGGAATCAAACCTGGTCTCCTGCAGAGAAAGGGCGACTTCTACCACTCAGCTGCCCCTGCACTCTTGGGTAATTGGTGCGAAATCTTTCTTTCCAACCAGCGGGCAGGCTCTGGATCTCAGCGGGATCAAGCCAGACAGCTGATCACAGATCTAGAGACTCGTGGGAGCCAAGCATTGCCTTTGTTCATCTCCTGCTTACGAGACACAGGCCAGGACAGGCTGGCTTCAGTGCTGAGCACAAATCGTCAAGCGGCAAAGCGAGATCCGGGAGCCATCCGATCCCTGGATGCTGGACTTGGACTCGTGCGCCTCAACCCAGATGAGCAGAGGACCCACCAAATAAAGCAGGATCCCTTGAGGACTGCCGTGGGGCACCTACCCTTGAAGGAGCCAGCTGAGCGCAGGCCAGTGGTTCCCAGGCCAGTGGATGTGGGCTGTGGAGAACCTTGTGATACCAGTGAGTATCCAGAGTGGTTGACGAGTGGGCATGATGAGTGGCCATTGGGGAATGACCGCTGATACAATTAGGTGGCCTGAGATCCAGCACTTAATGTTGATGCCGTCTTTTTGAATTCATACGGGTTGGGTAGAATTTGCTGGTCAGCCATCAGGAGTTGTACGTTTGCTGGTCCTTGCTCTGAACAGCCTGTTTTGGATGTCCTAGGTTTTGATCATGGTTTCAAGATCAGGTTAAATTGTTCAGGATTTTCCCTTGGGTCTGGATGGGTAGTGACCACTAGTCCACACCTAGGGGCAGGAAAGAGGGTTCCACCTGTATCAAGATTTAAATTTTAAACATTGCCACGTTGACCCTGCTGAGTACTGTCTGCAGTGCTTTACATAACTTATCTCAGTCTTCTGGTCTTCCTGGCGGGGTACAGTTTCCCCTTCACCACATTTGCTTATGCACCCATTTTGTCTTCAACGCTCGTGTCGGGGAAGTGAGCATCACAGAATGCCGGGTTATTGGAACAAAGTGTTCTTGTGTTGAGGGAGGACTTGAGTAGAGCCCCAATGTCTGTCTGTTACTTTAATACTTAACATATAAATATAAGTACATAGACCTGTATCCCCATTATATATTAATATATTTACATATATACATGCCTATATTTACACCTCTCTAAATGTCCTTTGCCTCCTAGTTCTTTCCTGTATTTCCTTTTACTTTCCTTCTGCTCTATTATTGTGTTCAACCTTCATTCGATTCTCAGCAATAACTCCTGGCTACATTGCGCTTGATCAAACCCCACCAGGCATTCTATGCCCCTCTTGCCATCGACTTTAGATCACCTGTTGTTCCCTTGTCCCTGGGTTTGTTGGCTGCCTCCTTCCTTTTACCCACCTCCTCTCCCATTTCCCCCCGGAGCCATCTGTTTCATTATTTTCCCCTTGGGATTGTTTATCCTGTCTACCTTATATAACAGACATGGTGGGTGGTGGGTGGGGGGAAGGCCTATAAGTAGTTCCAGGTGTGTCTGCTGACCCTTGTGAATGTTTTCCAACCGAGTCTGATGAGGTGCCAAGCCCTATCCCCCTGACTCTGAAGTCTATTTTTGGGATTCCTTGGGAACCTCGTTCCTTTGCTCCCCTTGCTGCTCTGTTGCTCTCCCTTTGTGTTTCTCCCCGGTGTGTGTGTGTTGGTGTGTGTGTGTGAGAACTTGTACAATTCCCACACTGTGTCTCCAGGGCTATCCCCCGTGGCACTATGGGCCAGTGAGGGGACTTCGTGTCTCCTGGTGGGGCCGGCCCTACAGTCCTCTCTGGGCATCGGCTGCTCCGAGTGGGAATGCCGTATGCAGGGCTTGGTGGGCCAGGATGCTCTCCTCTCTCTCTCTCTCTCTCTCTCTCTCTCCCTCCCTCTTAGTTTGCTCCCCTGTGGTCTGGGCAGACCCGCCCCGCCTTCCTGTTCTTTTTTGAGGCATTTTGCTTCCTGTTTGTGGTGAACAGTTATTCCCGGTAGGAACTGACATCTGAAGGGTCACTATCGATAGCAATAGGATTGCGGGAAGTGTGAGTATCACTTGATCCACCCTGTGCCCGGGGAGGTAGGCTCAGTCCTCCGTCACTACACCTCAGGAACTGCTTGAGAGCAGCCATTTGCTTTGTGAATCTTTTGTGCTCATTCAGGAAGTGTGTGGGCTGCAGTGCACGGAGCTCTGCTGGTGTTGTGGGTAGTCCTTGGGCTGCTAACCATAAGGTCAGCAGTTTGAAACCATCAGCTGCCCCGCAGGAGAAAGACAAGACTTCCTACTCCCATTAAGAGTTACGGTCTCTGAAACCCACAGGGGCAGTTCTACCCTGTCCTACAGGGTCACCGTGAGTGGGGTTTGGATTTGGATAGGCGACAGTGGAATTTCAGAATGGAGCAAACGTCCTCACAGTGAGTCAGTGGCCCACCAGGAGCCTTCAGGCCAGGTAAAGCCATTTCTGATTTAAAACCTGGGCGATGCTTGCTTTTCTGGTGTGACTTTAAACTGGTGGGATATTAATTCCTGGCAAGAGTCCGTGTCTACCGGTGGCATCATTGGACAAAGACAAGCCCTGTGGCCAGCTGAGCTCTCACTAATTGAACAGGAAACTCCATTTGGCATCGAAGGAGAAATGACCGTCTTCACTGGCTCTGGAGAATGTCCCAGCGTAAAAACACACCATGGAAAAGCAAAAGTAAGAGATTTATTGAAAGTTCAGAGACGCCCAGGCAGGAACTAAAGTTAAAAAGTCATGACTGGTTAAAGACTATTAGGGATATCCAAGAACAGGGACTTCGCGTGGGGTGGGTGGATTATAGCCCCATATTTGACTAAAGGATTTCTTTCTTCTTCTTTTTTCCCCCGGATCCTTTGGTTTACTTTTTACTTATTATTATTATTTTTAATAATTTTATTAAGGGCTCATACAACTCATCACAATCCATACATACATCGATTGTCAAGCACATTTGTACATACGTTGCCATTAGCATTCTCAAAACACCTGCTTCCTCCTTGAGTCCTTGGCATCAGCTCCTCATTTTTCCCCTCCCTCCCCGCTCCCCCCTCCCCCATGAACCCTTGATAATTTATAAATTATTATTATGCAAAACTGCTTTTATGAAAAAATTCACTGTGAC